CCTCTTCCCTTTCCTATTGGACAAAAGAAAATTCTAAATTGACACATAGAAGAACAAAATCTATGACAAACAATTCTGATATGAAAAGGCTTAGATGTTAACCTTTCTATACAGCCATCTAGGTGACTCAGGAAGGGACAACATTAACAAAAATTGAACAAGTGCTGGAACTGCTGCAACCCCAAGCATCCATCGCCAAGTACCAGGTGCCTACCAAATGTCGTAAACGTCATTTTTGCTGTTAGAAATCTGTACTGGTACACAGTTAATTTAGTAGGTAACCACTATCGATGATAGAAAAGGACTTGACATGGTACCTTGGTGAATGCCAGATTTATAAGGTAAGAAAAAAATTGTCCTCCTGTTATCAGTAGCCCGTTAGTGCTAACAAGAGCACCTCTAATTCTTGCAGGAGAAGCCTCAGAAATGTACAGTGGAGAGGTCATAGAAGCCATCCCGACTCCAAATCCCACAAAGATCCTCCCAAGAATTATAATTCCAGGAATTGGCGCAGCAGCCATTATTATAGCACCAATGAAGAACAACAAATCAGCCAATATAATCGAAGGTCTTCTTCCAAATCTGTCATTCAACCATCCACCGAATCCAGCTCCTATTATAGCTCCAGCTACAGCCATGCTGACAATGGTTTCCTGTTCACACAAGGTTACACCAAATCCTAAAGGGGTGGATTGTTGTGCATAAGAAAGTAAAAGTAACATAAATTAATGAATGTAATGAACTGCACCTGCAGCACAGTGCTCCGATCAACTGATTCGAAGTCATCTCTAATGTAAAGAAGTGCTCCAGAGATAACACCTAAACAATTAACAAGGTCATTAATTTTATTAAATCATGAGTTACAATCAATACAGTTATAGAATATTGAATAATAAAAAGCAACGAATGAAAAATGTTAAAATAAAATACTGTAGTTCATTAAGAAGCTATATGTGTTGTGATGATATATTCACTACGAGGTGTTTAACTCATCCGACAAATATTAATAACTATAGATAAGTAAAATCAATTGCAAACAAAATCCCTATTTTGTTATGGGTTCAGTATTATTTGAGTTACTATGGACTCAGCTATGGACTGAAAGTTCAATAGCCTGGATTTTGGTTTTAGAATAGTGTTAATCCACGTTAGTCTTACCAAATTACAGTTCTAGATCAAAGGTCCAGAAGACTCAAACAAACATATGGTCACCTAGGAAATCATATGAGATTATTTGTCCTCTCTTATATTTATGAAGAGTGCTAAGTGGAGTTCGATCAGAGAAAAGTTGGAAGTTATAAATAAGTGGGTTGGGTTGCTTGGTCGTAGTCTCGTAGATAACAACTTGTGATGATGTAAAATTAGCTAGTTTGACAATATTTTTCCGGTCAGATAGTTCTTTTTAATTTATTATCTCTCTCAATATACTGGTTCTAATATTTTCTCCCTCTTTACTTTGTGATAACTCATCCTCTTCTCTAACTGTTGTGGCAGTGTCATGAAGTTTGAGTCCATCCATCAAACCTCAACTTATATTGATTGGACCTCTTATTGTTAATCTGACTAGTTTTTTTTTCCATTCCAAGTGTTGTTAAAGCAGATACAATGCTGATATTGGTCTAAAATAGATGTTTAGCTTTCCACTCATTTGTTCTGAACTGTATAATAAAGTGGGATGCCAGAGTTATCATGCTCAAATAAAGTCCAAATAAAGAGAAAGAGGCTTGAAACATAATCTTGCATTATCACTAACCTAAGTAATATGATGTACATTGAAAAATATATGATCATAACCCGTTCTTGGAGACTATTTGGGTGGCCAATCTATCTCTCTAGCAGCCATTATAATAAACATGCACGAGCATATAGGAATGGCTTGACAAAGGAATAGCAAAACCACATAAAGAAAGATACAATGAACAACCGGATGAATGCTTGGGAACAATAATTTTACAAGGGAAATGGAGTGCCACATACTATGGACCTAGTTAACAAGATGCGTTGGGCCCTATTTTTCCGCTCCAAGTACCATTCCAAAGTCAATTGAAGTTTTTGCCACTTATTTCTTACTAATTCCCTCACCAATGCTTTACCATTAATCCAAAAGATCATGCCACATTCATTAAGCTTTGCAATGTACAGGTAATAATTAAAGTTCAGCTACAAAACAAAGAAGTTTTAGGGGTCTGACATAAATTCAGAAGACAATCTTTTGTATATAATGCTTGAGCTATAGTTATAACGATATAGACAGAAGATGGTTGATACCTGTATCATAACCAAAAAGCAGACCACCAATGCCAGCAGAAAATGCCAGACGAAGGATATATGGCTGCTTCCATGTCAAATTAAAGCATTCCTTAAATTCAGTTTTATCTGCTTTGTGAACACCGCCTTCCATCGCATGCGAAAAATAGAACAGAAGTATCTATATCCAGAATAGATTACCATCAGATCAAAAAATACTAACTAAAACAGGCAGAAAAACTGTGAAGGATTTCACATAAAGCGAAAGGGGGTTGTTTAGAACATAGAACTGATAGATATTCATCCTAATTTACATGATTGTTAATCTATCAACATCCCTTAGACTATGACATACAGAGGAGAACTGAGTTAATTTACAGTATTATATGAATCTACTACTATTAATTTGGACTTCAAACATTTAGAAGCAGCGAACTTGACCCAGTTAGCCCATTGGATTAACATAAGGCATGATGAGCTATCCGTGGATTCCAAGCACATACCACCACCATGATGGACCATGCACATTGGGTGTACATTCATTGTTGAGCCCACCAACCAAAGACAGACAGACAGGCACGACAATCGTCTTTACTTATGGCACAATGAAATCAACATGGCTAAGATGCAAATTTGACACGATCAACCAAAAGCCCTAGAGAAAAACATATTAGAATACAATAAGACAGCGGAAGTATCGAAGACGTTTTCCAATCCCAGGAAGTCGAATGTAGTCCAAATAGGGTTAGAACGCTGCTCAAAACCCAATTCGAACGTAATAAAACAACAGAAAGGCGCCGACGACCTTCTTCTAACCCCGGCAAAGTTAGCACTTCTCCGATTACTATCAAACCCTCAGTGCTAAAACGCTTCGATTAGGAAAACGTCTAATCACAAAATAATAACAAACACGAGACCTAAATTCTCAATGCAGACTTTGAAACAAAAGCTCCAATAGAACAAATCCGACGTCTCTAAACTCACCACTGAGCCGCTTTTTCCTCTCTCTAAGGATCTTTATCTAATCTCGTCCCCGGATGCACTGTAGGTGTTCGATTGTTGCCTTCCACTCCCCCACCAACATTTAAGAAAGAGCCGCGAACGGAGGAGAGGAAGTTTAGGGACGTAACCAGAATTAGGAGAACAGCTGATGACAGCAAGTGTTTTTAACAATGCGACGGATAAGGGAGAATCGAGCTGACATGGCAACGGATTTATATGCTCTTTCGGACGTGGCAAGCTGGTGAGGTGGAGGAACCCAGCCATCGGGAAAGTGTCGGTTAGCGGAACCCAATCACCCTTGCGATTTATCAGGTTGAATGTGATCGTCAATCATCTGACGTGGCCAAACCCTGATATTTTTCCTGGACGAACTAATGCTTCCAATTAGGTTGAATCCACCTTCCCACAACCCAAACCGGGTTGGATTTGGTCCGCCCCCAGCTGAACCCGGTCCAGAGCAGACCCGACCCCGAATCGGACCTGACAGTCACCCCTAATTAAATCCGACTTTTAATCAGATTTCGGGATAAACTTTTTCAAAACATAATATTTTAGTAATTCCGTTATTAAATCAATTAATGTTAGAAAACTGTCAGTATTCTTCATGAAGGTAAAATCATTAAATGAAGATATCCACATTGAAAATATTAAATTTTCATGGTGAAAATTAAAATCTCTAAACATGCATTTTTAGTAATTTCATGTTGAATTCTATTGACATTCTATCGCATGAACAATCAATCAAATATTTAAAATGTCAACAAACTGCTGATTTCATTCATAGAAGCAAAATTATTAGAAATTGTAAATTTCATGATGACAATTAAATGATAATTTAGATATGAAATACCAGTGGCATGATATTAATTTATAAAACTAAATTCATAAAATAATAATTTATAACCATCAACTTGTTTCTATTTTTTCGGTTTAATGGACCGTGGAGGAATGATAATTTATTATTTTCATTTCTAAAAATATATTATAAAATTTTAAAAATAAAAAATAATATGCTGATGGTGGGATGGTTATACTGCATAATATAATATAACGAATAAAATATTAATATGGGAAAATTACTTGATTTAATTGTATATAATTTTTGTCCTAGTCCTAATAAACTTTATACCTAATCAGTTAGACTAAAATTCATAATATCAATATTTAATTGTTTGTTGTGGGCCAATAATATCCATCAACAACTGAAGAACTCTAGCTTAATTTTATAAGTTCATAATGCTTAACAAGGTTAGAATAATGTAATCATTAATTTAACAAGAAAATATTCCTTTTGAGTGTTATTACTAGCATGGTGTTAATTAAACTCATGATTAGTTAAGAATAATGACTATATCATTTGACCTCATATTATTGGTCATATCAAACAAGTACTACACAAAAGAAGATGCATTGGTCGAGCCGCAAGTATACTGTATCTGATGTAAAACACAGTGAACCCACTCTCAAAGTGTTGAATGTGAGCAAAGACATGTTATGTCATTAAACCTATCAGCTCTACAGTCTTTCGCCATAGCAGTTGCGATGATCCATTCACAGACAGCAGATCTGTATCCTAATCTGTAACCTACATGTTTTGTCTAACTGCTACAATCTTTTTTCTCTTGCTTCTATCAAGTACTAAATCTTAGTGCCCAGATAGATGGTGATAAAAATGTACAGTATTCTTTAGGACCTTTTGTATCTTTGAACTCACTGCCGTCTAAATTTATGTGGAAATGGATTTTGTGTTGCTGAAGCAAGTTATCGCTGCACTTATAACCATCAGATCACTTGATCCTATCTTGCCATCCTCGCACTTTCATTTACTACACAGTCATCTTTCTATTATGAAATAGTTGAACTGATTCTATAACAGTTAATGATGCAACAATATGTTTTTAATTGAAAATGCATGGAGTAGTGGGAGCGGTAGTTCTTTTTTCTTCATGCAATTCATGATAGTTTCTATGCTATAAATTTACTGTATGGAGAGACATTTGCGTTTTATGTAACACCAGATGATGAGGAACAAGAAAGAAGCAAGTGAGAGAAGATATATGAGAAGATTTGAACATTATGCAAATATTTTCCACATCTTGAACCCTAATAGTCTATCCAGAAGACAGAGAAAATAGGAAAAATATTTGTATCCTAATAGAAACTCTCAACATCTAAGTTCAGGCCAACTCAAATCGGCGATGCTCGATAAACCTCTGAAGTAAATGCTTTCTAAGTAGAACTTTGCAAGCAAAGTAGCTCCAAGTCAATTTGATTATAGTGCTTCTATAGCTAACACCATGAAAATTTGTAAATTTGTAGCACACAATGAAAATGCTCAGCAGACAAAAGTTTTCGTAAAATTTTTATTTGTAAGACAGTAACATGAATAACATCTCTTATGATGAATAATAGTCATGTATTATGGTCTTTGCTTTCCTGAGTCCTTGCTCCACGCCATGCCTTATAATCATTGCTTTCCAGCATCTTCTCCACTTCTTCGAATGACAAACCCTTGGTTTCCGGTACAAGTAAAAAGATAAACACAAAGGCAACAGCAGAAATGCCACAGAACAAGAGGAAGGTGGGAGCTGTTCCTAAAGCCTCCGTCAAGCTCAGAAAGGTTTGTGTGACGATCAGATTGGAGACCCAATTAGCTACTGCAGCCAACCCCCCACAGAGTCCTCGGTATCGTAAGGGGTATATCTCCGAGTTGACAATCCAGGGGACAGTGCCCATGCCAGGAGAGTAAGATACAATGTATGCTCCGAGAGCGACGAGAGCCAACCATCCAAAGTTGCTTGGGCATCCTCGAGTATACCACTCACGATGATTGGCGTGACAAGCATCTCTAACCGTAGAATCCGACCGCAAGCATTCTCCGGGAAGAAGCTACATAGAAATTCCAAGCACAATAGATAATATGGTTTAGAACATTGATGTAACTAGACTTATGAATTTAATGTTCCACTTAAGTAGGAAGATATGTGATGTACATGAGACCAAAAGAGATGAAGTCGATTTAACTGAAAACTTCAAGGCTAGTTGCAGATCATTATCTGCAAGGAGCTTGAACTGTTACACACTTACAGAAAACAAGAACAATTTCACACGGTTTTAAGTCATCCTGGACCGAACATAGCTCTACCTAAAAGCTAAGGCATTCTAAATATCTCTTACACCGCTATGTGGAAAACAATAGATTAATAGCTTCTTAAAATGACATAA